TATTATATCTTATTAGTCTAACTTAATACCCTATCATAACATATTATATCTCAATAATTCAATTCAATAACCTAATATATGAATTAGTAATTTAAAAGGTAAATAGAAAATAAGACAAGAGTTAGGACACGTAAAGTAAATAGATAATTCATTTAAATTTAAAAAATTATTTTCTCTTTTACTCTTGTGCGTAAAAAGTGAGATATTTCTTTTATAGTTTCATTCAGTCATATATATAAATAACACCATCATTACAATGTGTGTTTTTATATATGTAATAATTTTTAAATTTTATTTAATTTTTTAAATAAATAATAATTAAATTATATATAAAAATTTTCTTTACTGTTTAATATTTCTATATGTTTGGTCTTCCTTTAAAATATTCTAACTCCGTCCTGGGCAGGCTCAAAAACAGTCTGAAACTGCTCCAAACCCATCGTTTAGCCCAACTCAAACATAAACAAGGGATTGCAGAGACCAGAAGCAAAAAAGACCCCGGTCCGAGAGCATCCGTCAACATCGCCTACAGGAACAGACCACGACAAGCCAGAAAGCTCCACACACCAAACCAGGCCAAGACTGTGGCCTGGAAGAATGAAACACAGCGAAGCCACCCAGCCTTCACCCCTTTCGCTACAACCCGTCCGTAGAAGAAGCAACCCTTACATCCATATCCCAGAAAAACGCTCCAAAGAAAATAAACACACCCCCACATTCACGCAACAGATGATCCAAACAAGCACCTTAACTCCACATGCAGCCTTCCCTCCCACTCGCACCATCAAACAGCAGACTCCAGCCAAACCCCCATCCTGAAATCCACGCCTCCCTCCCTCGAAAACATTCCCACCGCTATTTCACTTTCAAATCTTCTATTCTTCAATTTAATCATAAATTTAAGCATTTTGAAGTCTAAAAAAGATATACTACAAAGAACTCTTCCATTATTGGCAATTATACCATTTGAATAATTCACTCCTTTTTATTTTTGGAAATTTAAAGCTTTCAATTTTCATTTCTAAAGATACGACAGTTGAACCATTTGGAAATAAATTAGTGACTCTGCTTATTATTTTTGGCAATTAAATATGAGAGAACTATATTTTCTTTATATATATTTGTGAGGAAAATTTTAAGTTGGAGAATACCGTTGTTGGAATAATGAATATATTTTACTCCTTGATTTGAGAATACTCATATATTTTGTAATACTCTACAAAGAGAATAATTTTTCTCAACCTTCACAAGGAGGAGTGGATGCTTAAAACCCAATTAACCGCATTCGAGGAATTGTTTTCCATAATTAAACTGTGTGAATTTGAAGTCATCTAGCGAATGCATTTTTATGTCACCCTATGATTTTCTATGGCTTCAACAAAATGAGATGACCTTCAATGGTAAGATTTTTTATCACCTGGAACTACTTGATACCTACAAATAGCCTTCACTCCCTACCACTTACTATGATTTCCATAACAACCCTTCCAATGTCACGATACCAACCTCTTCTGTCACTCACAAATTAAGGATAAAATGGTTGTGACCACCGGAAGTCTCCCTGAAGCTCAACATCGATGGTTCAACCATTGGAAAACCAAGACAAGTAGCGATTGGTAAAGCCCTACGTGATCATCTTGGATATATTAAAAGAGTTTTCTTAAAGTACATTAGAGCAGAGAAATCAAATTATGGAAAGCTTAAAGCCATCACAGCAAGACTTTCATGCCCTAATTATTGTTGAAAGTCACACACTTGTAATACCATTGAAGGGTTTGACTTGTCTTTAATCAACTGAAGGTTGCAAAAAATAGGTGTAGTAGTGCCACATTCCGATGTACCCCTAGGGAGGCGAATTCTCTTAGTGATGGCCTAACAGAGGCAAGTGCGCCAAGGGAAGGTAGTTTCTAAACGACCTTTAGGTCCTTTGGACACCCACACATGTTCATTGTTCTGCTCTATTAGTTTGATATTCTGTAACCTTATACCTGCATATTTTTCCTAGAATCCTTATGAGGGAAATGACTTTCATTAGTTTTGGTCCACTCTTAAAGACCCACATAGATTTTTTCTACCTTGTCTTGACCCTTATGTTGTGTGTTTGTGGCATTAGTATTGTTATATGGTGTTGTTTTGTTGTTTTGATGATGTGATATTGTGAAGGCAATGGAGCTTTAGTTTGCATGTTCCTTACAAGCTCAAAGCCTAGCCTCCTACCTATGTAGCTTTTGTTGAAATAGGACATACATTGAAAATCATATCAGTGCGTGCTATTAACCTTAGGACCATATGTGACCATAGCTTCCTATCAAATTATGATAGCTATGCATCTAGTGATGACTTA